CCTTAATTTTGTTGGCATGACTCACCTACACCCCGAAATGACCGCCAAAATAAATGAGGAAAGGCCCTCACGAGGAGAAGACTTCAAAAACTGTATCTATCCATCCTCTTTCCCCTAAAAAGGCTGTTCCCCGGGCATCTTCACGAGGTCCTCTGGACGTTGGCGATAGTAATCTCACGTTGTTGGGGACTCTTTGGGCAACACACTTCACGATAGTATCTGTATAAAAGGGGGATGTTTTGGTCATTTGGGAGGTTGAGAGTTTTGCTTGCATTTTTGGGCAATTTGGCTCAAGGTCGGATTTTCCGGTACTCCTGGGGTTTTTACAAGAATTGGAATATATGCTCTACTTTTTTTTGGTTTCTAGTTTGAAACAATTGAAGAAGCTAGGACCCTTCACCTTTCCATACAAAAATTTTAGCTGTTTTTGGGCTTCATCCCATTTTCAGCTATCGCGTGACCAGCTGCGCTCGCTAAAATCATGCGCCTTATCATCGCCTTCGCGGTAAGTGAAAGCATACGGTAGCATAGTCACAATTTAGCTCCTCGGAGCGGCCCTGGCCGGAAAGGCCGCCCAGAGTTGCCGTAGTAGTTCGGATTGTGATAGGAATTTCATCTGCGAAAGAGGATACTGCCAAGACCCGAAAGAAATCGTCCTTGACGGTAATTTAAGTCTTACTTGGTAAATTCAACAACGCATACAATTTAGGTGATTGCAACAACCCGAACGAGGAATGGCTAGACTGCGGGTTGACCACCGAGCCGACTTGTGAAGATCAGAAGACCTCACATAAGGCATGAGACTGGAGCTCGTTTTAGGCTTTACTTTAGGACTGCTCGAGGCGCGGATGCTTCTGCCGTGAGGGATATGTCAGGGACAACAGCCGAAAATGCATCCGAAAGAGTGATTGCCCGAAGAAGCCTTGTAAGTTAGCCACTTATTGCTAGCTAGTTAAAGTTTCTAAATGGTTTATTGTTGAAAAACAAAAACTAAAGAAAATTCACAAAAATGCAGCCCCTTCATCCGATTCATGCTTCATCGACCGTGACTGCCCATCCGGATTTGCATGCGGTTTTGGAAAGTGCACCCCATTGAAGCCACGGACTCCGAGCAGCGCGAGGGCTGGAGATCGTAAGTCTAAAACCGGGTACATTTCAAAATTACTGTAGGATGCAGCATCAAGGCCGACTGTGGGCCAGGGCTAACTTGCCGAGATTCCCGTTGCGAGCGCGAGCAGATGAACAGCGGACGTGCTGGGGATAGTGGGTGTTTTATAAAATTCGTTAAATAATTTCATACTGTATTCGACAGGTTTACTATAAAATGGTACATTGATCGATCTACAGTATCACCCTTCAGGCTGCCGCGCTAGCATTGAATGTGAATCTCCTCTGAATTGTCAACTCGGAAAATGCTCGAGGGGATCAGCCCCTGCGCCACTTCCATCCCAACATGAAGGCCGTGAGGGATCTCGTGAGTTTTCGCCCCAAACGAAACTAGTCACCGCCTTTAAACTACCTACCGATACCTTTTATTACTTACTACAATTTAGGCTGCATCACCAGCTTCGAGTGCGAATCTCCTCTAAACTGCGAGCGTGGCACCTGCTCCCGCCAAACCTCTGCATTCACTAGCTTCCCCCAGGCCAGTGGCAGAGGCGGAAGTGGTAAGCCTTTCTTCATTTTTTAATAGGAAACGCATGATTTTTAATGTACGCTCCTTACTAACCAATTCTAGCCGTCGGCTCTATGCGCCAACTCTTCCCAAACACCATTTTCACCCGTCAAAACGGCGACCGCTTGCACCCAGAACAAGTCGAAAACTCCCTAACACTCCTCTTTTTCTCAAACGCAGCCTCGACGGCCGGAATCACGGTCTTTGACCAATTGAAAAGATTCGCGGAAGAGATCCGGGCCAAGGGACGACGCCTTGAAGTCATCTACCTCGGCATCGATGACCTCACCAAGGAGCGCTACGACGCCTTCCTCAATCAATTCCCTAAAGAATGGATCGCCCTACCGTACCGTGACCCGTTGGCCCGAGAGTTGTTGCCGAGATTTGGCGTCACTGGAATGCCTCATGTCACGCTTTACAAGGGCGGAAAGATATTGATCGACGATGTTCGAGAGGATTTGCATCTTTTCCATTATCGCGGGGATTCGGCCGGGATTTTCGCGAAATGGGAACGGCTCTAATTGGGTTGATCGGTATTTCGGGGTGAATAAATGATTCGATGTACGGACAGGCGGTGGAATTATGCATGTGATGTACTAACCAAAGCATGGCATTCGAAAGGCGTCCAAATTTTTAGATTTTTACTTTCAAGTAAAAAAAGCACTTTTTTCGCGCTTCGTAACCTCACAAAGAGCCTTATTAAGCTTAAGGGAAACGTGTAATACTGTCAAGAAAGTAATTAATCCTGTAGATAAGAATAAAAATCACAAAATTAGATTGCCGTAAGGATATTGATTGCGATCCCGGCCTCCTTTGTGCTCGCGGCCAAGTTTGTCGCCCCACCGACCGCGAGAAGCGCACCGAGAGCGAGCGTAAGTTTGAAAAAATCGTACTCTCATACGTTATTCAGTGTGCGAATACACGCATCAATGTGAGGGCATCCTCATCTGCCGCGATTCGAAATGCCAGCGCTCCAGGCCCTTGTAATTCGCTTTTGGTGACTTGTGAATTCGTGAAATCGCTCGTAATTTCTTTATAACACGGTGTATACTCTAAATACATGTAAACTTTTATCACCCGTTGATTTGTAACACGGCACACATCAAAGAAATTGGAACACAAGACCGGAAAGACAATGATTTCATACGATAAACGGGTTTCCAGTGGAGGTAATCGAGATTTTTTTGACGACGTGATGCGGAGAGTCGACGCGGAATGTTCCTGGAATCGCGTTATTGGTATATGCTATAATTCTTCCGTATTTTTAAAGAACTAAGACCTACTTTCGGTGACGGATACTGCAGTGGTCCGTGTAGTATGTACAATAGGGGATATACTATGCTCTTCAGCCCCCAGGCTTGATCTTCGCCTCCCGGGCGCCAGGGATAACACCGGGGAATCGGTTAGCGTTGTTGAGTCGACGCTTTTATGTGTTCTAAACAATATATTTATTTAATAGATTTTAATGTTTTTTCAGTTATCGGTTGTTAACGTATTTTTCGAGCTACAAACCTCAATGGCGGCCTTTTGCCTCGCTGCTGAGTTTGTAAAAGTGGGATAACTTCCGTTTCGCCACTCGTCTTCGACCATTCACGCTTCGGCGGAGATCCAGCTGAATGAGATGGAGATGTTTCCGCTGCTTTACAACTTACAGCTCGAAGACGTCCTCGATTCGGTTCTGGCAATGCGCTCCTCGTGCTTTGGCCCGATGGCTATGTTTCGATAGCTAAAAATCGTGGTCCATTAAATTATTTATTTTTCAATTGTAAATCCGAAATAGAAAATAAATCAAAACAGACAAACCCGTGTTTCCCACCACCCGCTGGAGACGCTCGCATCTCGATGCTGCCTCTACGCGCAGTTTCAACATGTCTGGTCACGCCTGTAATAAGTTGTATTTTGCCCTTAAACCAGCGTTTTGGTAACGAAAAAGCTTAGAATAAAACGAACCTGGTTGTTTTGTGTAATATCGGCGATCCCCATGGGTGGGAGAATCGCTGGCGTGGCTCGACTCCGATATTCTAGGTTTTAAGTGGTTAAAATTCGTTTATAAAACTAAACCGCACTTAATTGAGAAAATATATCAAAATAACTGATAAAACCGTCTTTCGAAGATAATAAAGCTGCTATAACATAAACAACCGGCCAAGAAGAATGGCCAAAGTCCAGACCGAACAAAAAACAGCTGACATCCCCTCACCTCGCAGCCCAACGAAAAGCTCAATGGACCAACCTGTGATAAACGGAGACCCTGGGTGGCGAGACATCACTACTGCTTTTGCTGTAGCTCTGCTTGTTCATCGATGATGAGCTGGCTTGAGAGGAAGTGCGCGACAGCTTGTCGGGCGATTTCTCCGGCGAATATTCTGGCTTCGGGGGTGGCAGCTCGTATCGCTCCTCGATTTGCCGAAGGATTTTGGCTGATTTAAGCTAAGGAACGCGTCGATTTCCTAGTTTTTTCATTACCTCTTCCACCACCACATCCTCGCCCCACTTCACGTGGGCGTTCGGCTTCGACTTTTTCTCCTTCACCGGCTTATTCTCGTCGAATTGGCCTTTATACTAAAAAAATTAACTTACGCAATTTTTGTATTTATAGCTTCTATGCCCACTTCATTCTTAATCCAATGCATTTGTCCAACGCTATCTCTATACGTGTGCTTTAACGGTGTGTTTGGCAAAATTCCGCGTAAAAATTTTATCGAGCGATCAGTTTTGAGAGTTTTTCTTTCAAGCCACACCGTTAAAGCCACCAAGGCACGCCTTTTAAAGAACTTAAAAATCACACCTCCATCGGACCGCCGCCCCAACTAGCCGTCCGCCACAGTCCATTTTCCTTGGCTTTCCGGACGCGCTCGCTGCACCGCTCGAAGGCGCTCTCACGGCGTCGTCTTTGCGCCTCGAGTTTCTGAAAACAATCGTTAATTACTTGCTTTTTGTAGCTTTTAGTTTCTACCACAAAACTATATAGTTCAAGCGCGTATTTGACCCATTACATAGTGTAATACCCGCGGCGCCTCTCGGAATAGGCGGTCGTAACCGGTTCCCGGCGGCACTTTTTCTGTACTTTGCTCCCCTCTCCCGTCTTATCAATCATCAATCCATTTCCAGCCACCCTTTTGAGCGCAGCAAACTCCACCGATGATTGGGCGACAAATAGCACGGTGGTCCACGACTGTAACAACCACAATAAGGTTAGTACCGATCTTCAAGCGCCAAAAATTCTTTTAGAATGGCTTCCGGAGCAACGAAATACGCACACGCCAAGCTTGGAGAATTCACACAAACGGAGCCGGTCCTACACAACACGTTTACTGATGACCCGATGATGGAGCGGGTTTTGAAGCGACATTTATCTCCTTCGGACTATCAGAAAGTACTTTTTTAGCTTTGCTAAAACATGTATATAGGTTGCACAAGATCTGGACAAATTTGGCGACCGAGTGGTCAAGGAGATTACGGCTAAGGGAGCGCAATGCGAGGTTTGTTTTTTATCGATCGCAAAACATCTTTTTCTTTGCATTTTTTTAGATTGACAAGCCTCGCCTCGAGCAGCACGATGCATGGGGAAAGCGGGTGGATAGTCTTTGGGTTTGCCCGGAATGGCGTCAATTAAAGGGTGTTTGCGCTGAGGAGGGAATTATTGGTAAAGCACTTTCAGAAATACCTAATTCCCCCGTTTTTAGCAATTGGCTACGACGATAAAACGGATCCGGTGGCTCGGCGAATGCATCAGGTTGCAAAATTATTTCTCTTCTCACCATCAGCTGGGCTTGTTACTTGCCCGATGGCTATGACTGATGGGGCCGCGAAAACCATTGATGTGAGTCAATTATTGGAATCACTGGAAGCTCTTTTTTAGGCCTTGGGACTCCGCGGAAAAAATGATCTGGCCACCGAAACCTATAATCGCCTAACCTCTAGAGACCCACAGAAGGCTTGGACCAGTGGTCAATGGATGACGGAAAAGCGAGGCGGATCAGACGTCGGAGGTGGATGCGATACTTATGCGGTTCATGTGAAAGGGGATGAGGTATCGCTTCCAAACATTAAATTATAACAATTTTTAGTACCGGCTTCACGGATACAAATGGTTCAGCTCGGCGATTGACGCCGATGTGGCGTTGACGCTCGCCCGGGTGGTTGATGATAAGGGAGATGCTCAGGCGGTAAATGTTGCGTTCACTGCAAGTTAGTAAGGGTTCCAGGGCTCCAAAGGACTTTCTCTCTTCCTGCTCAAAATTCGCAAAGATGACTCTCAAGAGCTGAACGGGATCCAGATGATTAAGCTGAAGAATAAGCTCGGTATGAAAAATTTTTTGTAACGTTATTTATGTTTAGGCACCAGACAGCTACCGACAGCCGAACTATTGCTCGATGGTGTCGTGGCTTATAGGCTAGGCGATGCTGGACGGTACATACAAGCAAATATTGATAATTGTCTATTTTTAGGGGAATCCCCCACATTTCCAACATGCTGAACATCACCCGAATCCACAATGCCGTAGCAAGTGTCGCCGGAATGAGAAGGTAACTTTTTTTTTTTGCGAAAAACTTTTAGTTTTAGAATCTTGTCACTTGCGCGTGATTATTCGACTCGCCGTCTCGTTTTCGGGCAACCACAAGAGAAGTGGCCTCTCCATCTCGCTACGCTGGCCAAATTGGAGGTATTTTTGTAAAGGGGAACGTTTAATATCTTTAATCTTGCAGGTGGAAGCCCGTGGTTGCTTTCTAATGCTGATGGATGCCGCTCGATTGTTGGGTGTTCAGGTATTCCTTGGATAACCGAAATTTATTTTTCTAGGAATCCGGCAAAGCCACGCTGAACGACCTGGTAATGTTGCGCTTGATTACGCCGGTTTTGAAGCTGTACACTGCCAAGCAGGTAGAAATTGTTTAAATTTAATTTGGTTTTCTTGTTTAGTGTGTCCCGCTGATCAGCGAGGGCATTGAGTGCTTCGGTGGGCAAGGTTATATCGAGGACACTGGCTTACCGACCTTGTTGAGGGACGCCCAGGTATTTTTTGGGCATCTATTAAAATTATTGCTAGGTGACCCCAATCTGGGAAGGCACCACCAACGTTCTTTCGCTTGATGTTCTACGCGTCTTCTCGGGCAAAGAAAACGTCTTCCAGGCCTTGAATGAGTATATCAAGGCGATATTGCCAAAAGACGGTAAGCTTTTTGGTAAGAAATTTACTTTTCTTCTCTTTAGGGAAGCCCGAGCTGAAATCAAGCGTTGATGCCGTCAAGAAGGGAATGGTTCAATTTGGGCAGATTTTGGCAAAGGTCAACGATTCCTCGCTGAACAGCCAGATGCGAGTCGACGTGTGCGCTCGGGATATCGCGTTTGCGATTGGGAAAATATTATCAGGTACGACAAAAAAATTTTGGCTCATCAGCAAAAGCATATAGGCTCTCTTCTGATCCGCCACGCTAGCGATGCTGACAGTACGACTGCAGATATCGAAGTGGCCAAGAGGTTTGTCGGCTTTTTGTAGGATAAATTGGTGAATATTTCTTGTAGATGGTGCCTGGAGCAAGAACTCGTGCGACTCGATCTCGAATGGTTCACCAAGCAGCGTATCGCCAACGATCGTGCCATCGTTTTTGAGAACTATGCGGGCAGCGCTCGGCAAAGCAAGCTGTGAATTAGTTTTTTAAGCATTGTACATTCATCACTTGTGATTTACGTTTAGAAATGGGTTTTCTTGAAGCTGGTCTTTGTAAACATTGCACTAATCCTTTTTTGCTCAATAAAACGAAATATGAAGTTTTCAAAGTGGTAGAAAAATGGGAGACGTTTCTCCCGCTCCCCTTAAAAGCGACTAGCGCGTCTTCTCCACGTTTTTCGACACACGAAGGCTCAACACCCGCCTGTTTCGTTGAGCACGAAATTCGAGCCGCCGATCCAAGATAACTTTTGCACGCGAGCAAACCCTAGCACAATCTTTCCCACCTTCCCACGAGCCACCCCCGGCTAACGACTAGGGAAGGAGGGAAAGCCGGATGACGCAAGCAGTTACAACGGAATATCATGGCACCCTCACTTCGTGGACAGAGTGAGAGAGAGAGAGACAGCAATGGACAACCGACACCCTCGCCACAGAAAGAGAGGAGAAGCTCCACCTGGCCGTTTGGACAGATGATGGACGCGGCTGGGCCACATAGTGGTGGAGGATTATTAATCAGCATGGCAAGGTATTTTTGGGCGGGGAATAGCGAACGAAGAAACAAAATGCTGCAACGACGCCTTCGAGTAGCCCGAAAAAGTGATAAAAATGAACTTACACTCAAGTAGAGCGAGCATTTCACTACGGAGGTGAAAAGGTAGGTCTGGAAGGCTGCGAGAAGGAGGAGAAGCGTGGCCAACCACATCCGTTCGAGGAAGGATTGGAGCTAAAATGGGTTGAATTATATTTGTCATATTTAACTCGTAGCTAGCGTAGTTTTTTTAGCTTCACCAACACTCAACTTTTCGGGATCAATCAACGATTTCGGCTATTTGAATTGATTTAACTTGTTTTTGCGCATACGACGGGCGCCGCCGCACGCGAAAAGCGACACCCAAAAAACCGACCGACCAAAACCCCAAAAGGAGAAAAACAAACAAGGAAGCAAAAACAAAAAAAACAAAAAAAAAAAAAAAAAAAAAAAAAAAAACAAAAGAGGGACAAAGGGAAAAAAAAGCAAACAAAGGCAAAACAAAGGAAAAAAAAAAAGGAAAAAAAAAAAGCGCCAGAAAAAAGAAAAACGGCGGAAAAAACAAAAGAAAAAAAAAAAAACCAAGAAAAAAAAAGTGAAACAAAAAAAACAAACAAGGGCGCAAAAAAAAAACAAATGTAAACTAGATAGATGTAAAAAAAAAAAAAAAAAAAAAAAAAGCAAAAAAAGCGAAAAGCGAAAAAAACGAAAGATAGGTAGGGACGAAAAAAAAAAACGACCGGACCCGGCAGCCGGCAGAAAGCCGGCAGGACTGGAGACCCGGCAGCGAGCCGGCAAAACGGCCGCCGGTGTTTGCCAGGTCAGACCGAGGATTTGAAGCCGGAAAAACAGAAAACGGAAAATCCCGTGCCAGCGGATCGTGCTCGGAGAAACCGGAATTATACCTATGGGGTAGTTTTTTAAAAAAATTAAGTCCTAGCCCACAGAAGAGCGTATTTTTTCTTCTTTTTGGCCATACTCAAGCCTTCGATCCGTTAATCCTCCCTCTTTCCCCTAAAGCCCCGTTGTTTTGACCACCACATCGCCACCCAGCGTGACCCAAAGATTGGAATGATCGACCTCTACCCTCCTTCTCCCGCCTATCGAAACACGTGGAGATTGAGATGGTGGAGGATATCTATCTATCAGTAGGGCCCGCGCCCCGCGACGATTCCGCATTACACAAAGCTGCGCCTCACCGCCGAGGGCAGCCCGCCACATTGAACCCCTCCCTTTTATTGGAGAGCGATTCCCTCTTGCTCCTCTTTCAAGGACCACTTTATGTACCTGGGGTTGGGGCCATAAAACAGGCTTAACATTGGGTGTTGATGAGGGTTCCTTATGATCCGAGTTGCGATTGGGAGGACGTGAGGATTGGGAACTCGTGAAACGTCTTGAAAGCGAGGATTTTACGAGTCGAGAAAAAGTGGAACTAGCTAGCATAAAACCGGGTTTATGCACCAAGAAGGGTTCAAATCGGTGGGGCTCAAAATACTTGACATTTTTCTGGTAGGATCTTGAAATCCAAGCTGAGAAAAAGAGAACAACTCACATGAAACGTCTCCTGATTCGTGTACAGGTCACCGTAGAAGTAGGACCAGGCGTAGAGGAAAAAGTAGCCGAGGGAGAAGAGCAGGAAGAAGCCCTGGACGAAGAGGTGGGGGAAGAGGAGGGTGGACGTGTCGGAGAGGATGCCGCAGAACATCAGCAGGACCTGAATCAGTATTTTTCATTTTTAGGTTTGCCTTATCTTATCAATTTGTATACCTTAGCAATTTATCGGTCTTTTTTGCAAACGAACGAAGCACTACCAACTTTATACCTATCTTCCTTTACAAGGAGACAACAAGAGTAACATAAGATTTTTATTTTAAAAAAAAAAAATTTTTTAAAAAAAAAAAAAAATTTGCTATGCGTTCGGCCGCGCCGCCAAAGGCAACGTGCGAATAGCGGCTATATGGGGGCGTAATCGATTACACAATGAACGGCATCCCTCGCGCGTTGCGTTTCGCGGAAAGCTAACTTTATTTTAGGATTCCAAAGGAGAACAATAGTCTCGAAAATCCGTAGCCATAACTTGCCAGTCCCTTTAAAATAGGGCCGCTCAACTTTTACAATTTTTTTTTGCACTGTCGTTACGCATATGATCCCATATGACCGCTGAACACAGTTACACTAGATCAACAGCCTTTGGACTGCTTGGTCAGTTCGGGATCTAGTTACCTCTAGGGCCAAGGGACAAAGTGTCGAAGACCGGCCTAGTCATCTCCCCTCCGAACATGAGGAGCCGACCAGAAATCGTTGTCTGGTTGGGGGCCCGAGACGGCCAGTAAAAGAGGGCATGGGCCAACGGTCTCAAAACGTTTGGCTGGCCATCAACCGCTTTTTGATCCGGGTCACAACAGAGCTCACCGGGGGCATACCTCTCATATTTTGGCGAGGTTTTTAGGGATCACAATCCTTAACGCTCGTTAGACTGTTAAACCTTACATATCAGAAGCTCAAAAGAGAGATAGAATGCTTAAAAACCTAGCAAAGTTATTCTTAACCTAAAAAATCGATGGAAAGTTGCAAAAACAATAATTTTTAGCAAAACGATCGCTTCCTCTAGGCTTCTAAAGCCTTATTTTGACTTAAAAATCGAGTATTTCGGCCCACTTACCGACAAAATAATAAAAATCATCATCAGCGCAATAATATAGTCAAAAACAAGGGTGATGTTGAAGTGACGGTATTTGAAGATCAAGCAATCACGGAGAAAACTAAAAATAAACTAATTTTTTATTATGAATAACTTTCTTACTTTTTATAGCATTGCCCAGAGTCCTGGCTTTTCCATATGACCTGCTGGACGATGCTGACCAAAATCAGACCGGCCAGAAAAACCTGAAACCGGAAATTTTTCGCTTTTGAAGGCTGGCCTACCTCAATAAAGCCTAATGTAACGGTGCCCAGCTTTACATGACAACAGTCGCAGCATGTTCGGTATCTAAAGACGGGGTTTACGATTTTCTTAAGAAAAATTAAGCAATTTTTTACAACAGAGACAGTAATTTCTATAAACCCATACCTATCTGGCGGTGTCCCTTCGCGCGCGGTACGCCGCGCTTCCACGCGCAACATCACCGGGACCTTTGGCATTTTTGCTGGGGCATGAGGTAGTTGGGAATCGGGAAGAAGAGAAGTCCCGGAAAAGTGTTGAGGTCAATGCGATGGGTTTGTGGTTTTAGCTGAAAGATTTTCACTTGAATTAGATTGATTCACTTTCAAAATAAACGAAAATCATGTAAAATAAATTAAAGCAAAAATTTATTGAGTCCGTACACTATCATATTCCACTGTTTTTTAGCACGATTGCTTATAATCCCGAGAAAAGGACAGAGAGTTTTTAAACATCGGTTATTAATACAAAAAAAATTAAAAATCGTTGGTTTTCGCCGGTTTTTTAATATGCCAAGGGGTATAATCTGGAGAAGATGTGATGAAGCGAATCAGATATATAAAAATGGAGCAAGCTTCTAGAAATCGCCATGAAATCTAGCAGGATCAGGCCGGAAATAGGCCTGGAAACGCATGGGTGGCTGAAACAGAATTCCAAAAATTGCCCCCGTTCCCGAGAATAGGCTAAAATAGCCTCTTTTAGATCCCTGCAAATCCTCCAGTGAGCACATCTACCCAAACCAAGTGGCCAACTTGCAAAAAAACGACGGAGATCCATGTATCAGGCGGTACGATTACACAACAATAGCACCACCCGGTGGCACGGCGGACAAAAATTGGCCTGGTTCGTGTAAAAGCGAGCAGCAGCCAAGGATAAAGAAGACCGAGAGATGGTTATTTATTTGGGCTAGTAGAGAGTGGGTATGTGAGACCGTGGATATGTGGGTTCTAGGTGGAGAACATGTGACGGGAAGGGGGTGGTGGAAGGAGGGAGCGAATGGACCCACACTGGCAAGTCAACCAGGGGATCCATGAACTTTGGCGGCTGCTTGGGGGTCTCATCCCTTCCCCTTGGGCCCTTTCGAAGTGGTTTTAACTGGGCCATGTCTACCTGCAGTTTTGGAAGTTCCGAGAGGGGGGTCCAGGGGGGGTCAGGAGGAGGAGCAGGAGAAGGACATCCGCTTGCTGCCGTTGCAAATGTTGACTTGGCAGTTATGACGGTCATGGATAGGTTAAAAATAAGTTGACTTCAAAATAGGAGCTTTTTAGCGGGTGCAAAGCTTATGAAACAATGATATCTTCAGAAAAACTTGAATTTAATGTCGAAAATAGTAAATTAAAAAAATCTAATTTCTCGGCACTCATCGCATGTCCGTTACGCTCCTAATGACGTAGTAAAAATTCCGTAAAGCCCTTCCCTGACCCGCTATGAGCCGGAACGTCCTGATGTGAATTCAAAGCTCCACACAGACACACACTGACCATTTTTTATACAGAATTTTTA